GTATTATTTTTAAAACAAATTCTAAATGCCTTATTTTCGTTTAGCACACAAATTTTTTGGTAGTTCAATAACTCTCAAAGTTTTGTCCTTAGCAGTTAAGATTATCTGAAATATAGAAAATACGATTCAAACGTAAGCTTGCTAAACTAACCCAAAAAATATGTATGTATATCGTGAATCACCTTATTACTCGCCACTGTTAAAGTTAATACGCTGCCGGAGCAGCCGGCAAAACGCCCACATGGACGCTCTTTCGCCTTATCAATCGCATAGACAAAGCCATCAAATGAACTGATCAGCAGGAATTTATTTTGGTATAGACGCATGGAAACAGCGCCAGTACCACAATACAATGTAGATAAGTGTTGACCGGTCTGTAGGAGAATAATTATTTTTTTAGTTTTGTGATATTTTTTGTTTGTTTTGTTTTGTATTATGTATTAACTTACTGTGAAATCCAATTTCAATATATTGCTACGTTGTGTACTACAAAAGATTTTGCCATCATCCAATAGCAAGCTATAAGCCTTCAGTGGTTCGGGCATGGTTATTGTGCGTAATAGAAGCCCAGAGGATGCATCACGAATTTGCACTTCCTTAGATTTAGAGGCCACTACGAGTATTCGACGTGGTCCCTCCTTTGTTGCTTTGATGGCGGTAATTGAAGTATCCGACGATGAGACCGAGGCGCTGTTGAGGTTGTTAGACTGTGGAAGAGGGAAGAAAGTTTTTATGACTATTGCATATTTCCCTTTGTGGAATTTCGCTTAAACTAACTATATTCAATAAAACTGGAAAAGTATCAGAATGCATATTTTAAAGGATTCGAAAAACCGCATTATTTGGAAAACATAAAACAAAATTCGGGAAAAGTTAATTGAAGTGTAATTTTGAAAAATGCAATATTTCACCGGAATATAGTGGTTTTTATATCATTACTCTGTTCTAGTTATAAGCGCCTAATAAAAGAAAAAAAATTAAAAAAAATTCCTTTGGAGATACGGGGCTTCGATCCCCCATTATACTTTATTCGTTTGAAAATGCTTATTTACGACTCTAAAACTCAAAATAGGTACATACATGGAAAGTATCATTTCGAATTCATTCAACGATATTGAAATGACGCTGGATAACAACGAGACGCTACTACGGATGACGAAAAAATATTAATATTAATTAATCATGATTAGTCACAAGCCAAAAAAATTAATTGCAATTATTGAAAAATAATCTATTAATCGAATTTTTAAAGGCAGTTTTTACAGTAAGTATTCACAAAAACATTTTTTCAATAAAAAATTTCGAATTCTCTTGATAATTAAAATAACACGAGTATTTTAAGCGCCGATATTATTTAACCAATTTTGCAAAAACAAAAGTTTGTGCTAAAACTACGATATACCCGTAAATACTGGATCCAAATTGTTGAAAATTTGTTTGCAAATTTTTGCATTCATGTAAAAAAAAAGATCACAAAACTCTTGAAACAAACACATTTTTTAAATCACCCAATGAGTTATATTTGGGAATTCTCCAATTAAATAGGAAAAAAATCAAGCTCCCATTTTACATTCAATTAACTGGCTCACAAGGTCTCGTAAGTATCGTATGTCGTAAAGTTTTTAACCAGGGACAATAAAAGTTTTTTTTCGATGTTATAAAAGTCCGGGCAAAATATTGTCGTAGAACAAAGCAATAAATGTTCCTTTGATCCAAGGACTTCCTGGACAAGAATCCAGGATTCTTTTTATTTTTGAACTTTTTTAGGAAAAAGTCCAATACCTGAAAAAGCCGGACTTTTATTTTTTTTAGTCCAGTAATAACACTTAAACTTGGCCAAATATTTTTAAGGCCGAAATAAAAGTAATTTCCTAATAAAAAACAAACCGCTTATTCAAATTAAATAAATTTAGTATAAAATGAAAGAAAACTGAAATAGCTTTCAACCAAAAATATCTAAACGAAGGTTACCACTTATTTATATATATTTTTTATCTTTACCCACGGTTTGTTCTATGGTAATTAAAAAAAAATTTTTATATAAATATTTTTCAAAAGATATTTCAGTTTGAAGGCTATTTTAGTCCTTTTTCTTTGATACCCACTTTGTTTAATTTGGATAAACGGTTGGGCTATAGTCACTAGAGTCCGAACGATCCCCAATTTATGACCGATTAATCGGGTGTAGTGCAAAGAATCGGCCGATGACAATTCCTTAAAAAAACTACCTGAATATCGAGCCCTAACCGCCAAAATAACGTAAGCGATATTTTTTTCAAAATTTTCTTTTTGATGCAGAAATGTATCTAGATGCTCTAGGAATATTTCTGCATCAAAAAGAAAATTTTGAAAAAAATATCGCTTACGTTATTTTGGCGGTTAGGGCTCGATATATCGTCGCTCCCAACGAAGAGTAGCACATCTCAAATTACCGTGGAAGACTAGCACGTTTCATTATTCGCGTCGAAAAGTAGCACATTTCAGAATTTTACGTGGAAGAGTAGCACATTTCAGATTCTCGCGTAGAAGAGTAGCGAATTCACATAAAGTGGTACTAGCAGCCGTACAAAAACCAAACATACATGTATGTTATAATTATTTCTCCTCGACTAAGCTGAGAGTTTAATCGAGTAAATGGTTTGGAATTCAAAAAAACTAATATTTTTCTATCGGAAAACTCTTCTCATCTGCAGGATTCCCAATAATAATACCCAAATGTTTATTTAACCATTTTTTCATCGCAACTATAATTTGTAGAACCGCCAAAAACCCACAAAAACCCCGAAAATTGGAATGGGCGGACAAATAAAAAATCGTTAGTATTAAAAAATGGTTAAATAAATACTTGGGTATTATTATTGTAAGTCTACTGAAGAGAACCAGAGTTTTCCGATCGAAAAATATTGATTTTCAAGAATTCTATACCATTTCTACGAAAACTTGTTTTTCCCTATATAAAAATACATGGAAAACTTTGAGCGCTTTGAGCGACCTCTAAATATTTTTTGATTTTAAAATAAAAAAATAGGGGTACACTTTTTTCTATATAGAACAATTCTAGAAGGTGAGAGCATTACAATTCCGACTTTACTGTTTTGGACCACCCTAATATCAAGAGCACCTCATTTCAAATTGATATTGTTTTTCACTTAATAAATAAATGAATTTTTAAGAATTTTCATTAAAATAAAGTTCTTTCTCTGAAGAAGTCCATATAAATCCAAATTTAAAACTTTGTAGAAAACTAAAAAAATCTAAAAATGTTCATCCAAATGTGAAAATTATTTTCTCAGAATTTTTTGAGTATATAGATTTAAAGCCCTTTCAATTTTATTGCAATAATGTGCAAGTTTCAAGAGGCTAAAAATTTCCGTTGTTGCGGGTTTCTTCAATATAAAAATAAATTGTGTTTATTCGTTATATGGTAGGGAATGCGACAAAAAGAATCAAAGGTTTTAAGGCTCTTGAACCTTGCACATTATCACACTAAAATTGAATCGGCTATAAAGCTTCATACTCAAAAAAATTTTAACACTTCTGAGTAAATAAATTTGAAATTTGAATGAAAATTAGTTGATTTTTTTTTTTAGATTTCTACAAAATTTTAAGCGTGGGTTTACATGTTTTTTTTAAATTAACTTTATTTTAGTTGAAATTGAACATACTGAAAACAAAATTTCAATGGTGAACCATAAACCAATGTGAATTGCATAAAGCTTAAAGGGGAAAAATGCCTTTAAAAAAAGAAAAGTGGATGATCTTCGGCAAATGATCACTAAACGCTATATACCGTCTGAATTTCATGAATTTTATAATAGAATTATAGAAATATAAAATAAGCACTTGAATTTCCAATATAAATTATGCTTTTATGATTTAGTTTAAACCTTAAATGTGCTAGTCTTTCACGCAAATAGTGAAATGTGCTACTCTTCCACGCAAAAATCTGAAATGTGCTAGTCTTCCACGTAAAATTCTGAAATGTTCTACTCTTCCACGCAAAATTCTGAAATGTGCTACTTTTCGACGCGAATAATGAAATGTGCTAGTCTTCTACGCGAATAGTGAAATGTGCTACTCTTCGTAGGGACCGACGATATGTAAATTCATTCAAGAACAAATGCTTTAAATAAATTTTAATAATAACAAAAGAAGAACATAAACAAATAACTAAATAACATTCCAAAAACGATAATCATCAAAGAATCTGTTCACTTATTTGTGTACGATGTGTCGCATTAAAGAAATCGCCCCTGTAGATGCTGAGAAGGTCAGCGAGACGTCGGGCTGGAAAGTGAAGAAAATAGTATTTTTCTTGCACAGGAATTTACTTGATCAAATAGCCTAAAATACAAAACACTATTAAATTCAATAAATTGATCGTCCACCCATCGTCATATTACAGGGTTTTGTTTAGATAGTAAGCTATATTTTCATAAAAAATGAAAACATTTTTTAAACAAAGAAAAATAGCCAAAACTTGCTAAAATGTGTCATCCCTATTTAAATTATCGCCACCGCACATCATGAAAACGAAACATGAGAACACATTTATGACAGGAGAGCTCGGATGCATAAATATTTAAAGACTTAAAGGAATTAAAAAAGTAAAAAATAAATACCATGGAATGAAGTACGAAAAAAGTAAAAATAATCGGCTAAGAATTGGCCAAGAATGGCCGATGCCGATTAATTGGTCGGACTCTAATAGTCACTCAATTAAAGGTAAATTATCCCGAAAAGGGAATATCATATGTGTATATATAGAATCAAGGAAAGCTAAATCACGGTAGTTATCTTAGCAGAAAAAAGGTAATTCGGTTATTCGCAATTTACTCGAAATTTTGAGAGTATACGAGTCAAAGGGGCCTCAGAATCGAATTCAATGGGTCGAAATAAATGTCGGTAGGTGGGTCTAGTTAAAAGCACAAAAGCAGTTTTTTTGTGTGCCGGTGCAATCGGTCGGAGGCATATCTGATTTCTATTCCGCGCAAAATCAAAAAATTATATAAAAAGTTTTTCTAACTTCTCATAAGGAACCATTTGCCATTCGTAGGCGGCGCTCAAGAAGAAGGTGGACCTAATATGCAACAAACAAAGGACTTGATTAATTTTAGGTTTTTTTTATTATTTTTGGATAAAATTCAAACCCTAAAAGGCGTAACCGTAAATACGAGTAGCACGCCCTATATGTATGTATTTAGGTGTATCCGTTGACTTGTTAATGTTTATTATTTGGAACAAATGATTGCGCAAGGGGTGGGGAGAAATAAAATGTACACCAAATAAAAAGTAAAAAAAAAAAATCGCAAAAACTTATTATTTTTCAAATAATGCCTTCCTATTCTAACACTCGTTTTATAATCGAGTGAATATTTGTGTAAATGTTTTATACTTCTCATATACATAGTTGTTTAGTAATCAACAAAGCAGCCATTTATATAGATAAACAACGAAACTGCAGTTAGAGAAAAAAACGCCTCGATATTGTTGCAAGGACCCGCCCGCCTAGCATTGTGTTTATTTAGTGGTTACAGTGGAAATCCTTAAGAAAATATAGTAATAGCAACTGCAGTATGCAAGCAATCTGATTCGCTTGAACCAGCCAATGAAAATGTAGGAAAACACCCACAACCGAATTTTCCAGATTCAAGCGAAGAGTCAACAAAATAAAGCAAAATAAATATAGCAAAGCATAAGCAAAGAGTTGTGTTGCGTTGTCCAGATGCAAGCGAAGCAGCTTATATACCTACATCATATGTACATATATACTTACATACATATATAGATTGTACAGAGGGGGTATAGGGCGTAGCCGAGTTCGTGTGCAATTTGTTTTGATAGAAATATAGTGGCATTATAATATGTCCCTATGTAGTTATTTATTTTTTCTCCTGTTTTTTTTTTGTATAAAAGTATTGCATTTCTCACAAGCACAAGTGCAAGTTAACGCCAGCAAATTTTTGCCATGCGCACAAGAAGAAACGTCTAGGCGCTTCCACTATGTGACAATGCAATGAGGAGAGAGTGAAAGAAAGGCATCGGACTGGAGCGCATTGTCATCGGCCAAGGCGCTCTCTCTCTTCGAAGTTGAAGTAGCGTTGTGAATAAGAAAACTTGCCAATGCAATGTAGGGATGTGGCTGGGATGCGCTCAAATGCATTGTCCAAATATATATGTATGTATGTACGTTTTCGTAATGGTGGTGACTCTTTGTTTTGTTGCAATAGTTATGTAGTTGTTGCAAATGCAAGCATAGAATAGAGACGCCATTTTAGTTTGCATAGACAAAGCGCACATCCAAAATGATAAATAAACTATATACATAAATAGAAAACATACGTAAAGCTGTACCGTTACATAGTTCTGCGCTGCAACGCCCTTGCAATATGGGTTGGGCTAAATGTAGCTTAGATTTAACTTAGTAAATAGTTAGATATACTCCCATGATGGCAAGCTAAGGCTGTAATTTCTTTGCTGCAAAATGGGTGTGCCAAAAAGCAGTTCTCTGTTTATGCTTTTAATGCAACTGACTGCCTTGAATTTAGGGGTGTTGTTGCACATGCACGCTACTTTACGTGTATAGATATAATCAAAAATTCCAGAAATTACTATGGCGGCTAATAAAAAAAATAAGTAGCAATCCAAACAAAATAATGGCAAATACAAAATGAAAATTATAAGCACGTCACAGCAATAAATTACCAATCGAAACTTATGTCTTTCGCATACCAACCAAATTACATTAATGTATTGGAAGAAGTATCGAATAGGGAATTGGCAGAGAGCGAAAAGGACAAAAATTATAAACAAATAAAAAAAAACAAGACAGCAAATTTTTCAAAGCTGTATTATAAAACACTACATTTAGAAAAGGTGTGAGTTCAATTAAAAATTCCATGTGGCATTGTCTAGACGGATAGTCCATTGCACTTAACATGTTATTGCGGTAGAACGGGACACGTATGTATATTGCTCGTTTGCTGAAACAACGTCATAATTCAAAAAATAAAAACTGCGAGCCTTAAAGCTTGCTTTGGTTTCAATCGCTGTCAAAGTGATTCTTTTCTTGTTATAATTGCTAAACGAAGTGAAAATGAGAAAAGTCGTAAGAAGGATGAATTATTTTCTTAGGAACGGAATTCTAAGACATCACAAAATAATTTTTTTACACAGGAAGAAAAACTTCCGACGGCCATTTCTGCTTACTTAAATGAATTTTTTTTTTCATAACATTTTTTATCATAACATTATTCCATAAAACGAGCGATTTGGTGTAAACACAGTTAGTTAAATATAAAATTGCAATTGTTAATTAGTGCTAAGATGTCCAGTGTTGCCAGTAACTGGGTTAATAAAATCCCATCCAAATATAATCTAAATCCCGTTTTATACTAAAGTTATAAAAGAAATCCTGTGCTGCATGTATCTATTATACTGTGCGACAAAAATATAGAAATTTTGAAACACATGAAACAATCAATATACTCACGAAACTGTGGGCCAAATATAGCAAAACTGCGTTTTTAGTTTTTCTCCATGACGTTCGGTTTTTTTTAAAGGACCTTGTAGTTTCAAAGATATGATTAATTCCAAAAATTATTTAAAAAATTCATTCCAATGTGGAAAAACAGTATGGACAACAAATCAAAGAGAAAATTCTGTCAAATTAAAAAAAAAATTAAAATTTTTTGATTCGCAAGGACGAATAGGTAATGAAAGTGTCCTTTAATTAGTTTTATTTTTTTAAGCGAATAAAGTTAGAAGGACGAAATTCGAGGATGTAGTCGAGTGCATATTAGTCATTAACATATAATTTTTCAGAAAATAATTATTGTAAAATTTCAAGGATATTCAATGATAAAATGTGAAAATGACATTTTTAGTACCTAATCGTTCTTATGCACCAAAAAATTTAATCGGCTTTAATTCTACATAATTTTCTCTTCAATTTGATAGTTAAAATGTTTTTCTACATTGCACTGATTTTTTTAAAATAATTTTTTGAGTAATTATATTTTTCAAATTTCAAAGTCCTTCAAAAAAAAGTAAGAAAAGTAGAGTCGGAATTTTAATGCCCTCACCCTCTAGAATTGTCCTATATCGAAAAAAGCATAACCCTATTTTTTTATTTTGAAATCAAAAAATATTTAGAGGTCGCTCAAAGCGCTCAAAGTTTTCCATGTATTTTTATATGGGAAAATAAAATTTTTCGGAGAAATAGTATAGAATTCTCGAAAATCAATTTTTTTCGATCGGAAGACTCGTGTTCTCTTCAGGAGACTTTCAATAATAATACCCAATTGTTTATTTAATCATTTTTTAATACTAACGATTTTTTATTGGTCACCCCATTGTATTTTTTGGCGGACCTATAAATTATAGTTGCGATGAAAAAATGGTTAAATAAACGGTTGGGTATTACTATTGGGAAAAACAGAGTTTTCTGGTAAAAATATTGATTTTTAACTATTTCCATGCACATTCGGATGGCACAAAAATTTATGTGGAAAAGTAAAGTCAGAATTTTAAACCCTTCGCCCTCTAGAATTGTTCTATATCGAAAAAATATGTCCCTATTTTTTATTTTGAAATCAAAAAATATTTAGAGGCCACTCAAAGCGCTCAAAGTTTTCTATGTATTCTATATAGGGAAAAAACTACTATCTATGTAATAATTATACGCCCAAAAAATGCATCGCTTTTTTAAAATAAAATTTTTTTCTAATTTTTTGTGTCCCACCCGCAACACCTTCGACGAAAAAAATTCTAAAAAATCAGCGGTAATTTTTAGCCACTTGAAACTTGCACGTTGTTAGACTAAAATGTGGAAGGGTCTCTCACGTCAAACCCAATGACTTCAGGCCAATAAGCCTAACGTCCTTTCTTCTTAAAACTCTAGAAAGCCTTCTTGACGCACATATCAGACAGCGCCTTTCTTCTGAGGACGTGTCGGAGTGTCAACATGCCTATTCTCCCCAACATGCCTGTACTCCTCAAGCAGGAGTTCTCTCGACCCCATTCTGCAACCTTAGAGTAAACTCAATTTTGATGAGACTGCAGAGTACAAGCTGTCACGTCGTAGCGTATGCCGACGACATTGCACTCACAGCAACGGGCAAGCATCTCCAAACGCTAAGCGAACTTTTGCAGATCGCTCTCTGTCTCGTGAACAGCTGGTCGAGGGAGTGTGGACTTAAAGTCAATCCCACCAAGACCGAAATGATACTATTTACGAGGAAATATAAGACCGTCATTTCAGCCCCCCTCCCTCAACGGGATGGGACTTACACTCTTTAACGAGGTTAAATACCTCGGTTTAATTCTCGACAGGAAGTTGGACTGGAAGCGGAACCTTACGGAACGATCCAGGAAGGCCATTACCGCCCTCTACGCCTATAAGGCAGCGGTAGGGAAACGATGGGGTCTGAAACCATCCGTCCGACCCATCCTTTTCTATGGGATAGTCGTATGGTGACCGGCTCTAGAAAAATCCACTTACAGAGACGTATTGGACCAAGTGCAAAGGGCGGTAACCATGTTAATCACGGGTGCCCTGCCCTCTACTCCCAGTAGGGCTCTTGAGACTCCCTACCGATCTTTACGTTAGATATCAGGCCAGCTGCAACACAACTAGACTGAATGCAGCTCATAGATAGAGAGACCTTAGGTTCGGTCACTTAAAAATTCTGGTCACCATTCCAGCAACCCTACATAAGCTGGATTACATTAGTCCACATCTCTGCTTCGCAAATAGGTTTTCTACCAGAATTCCAGACAGAAGCGACTGGGTAAACCGCTCGGACTTAGATCCAGAATCTACTATCATTACGGACGAGTCAAAGCTCGACAATAAAGTTGGAAGCGGAATCTACTCCAAAGAACGCTCGCCATAAGGGAGGCCCTATGGATTAAAAGTTACACAAATTGTCTACAATTCGTCACTATTTATTCTGACAGCCAAGCTGCTATTAAATCTTTACAGTGCAGTAACACTTCCTCAAAAATGGTTGCCGAATGCAGAAGTACCCTAAACGAGCTTGCCGCAAAAGTCACCATTAACGTGGTATGGGTACCCCGGCACAGTGGAATACCGGCAAACTGCGCGGCTGTCGAGCTGGCGAGGGGGGAAAGTGAACTACGTTCAGCAAACTCTACGCTCGATGCAGGCGTTCCACTGTCTTCGAGTAAGCACCGACTGAAAGAACCAACATGTTCTGTTACATAACAGATCTGGCCATTTATAAATTTTTTGTAGTTTTCTACAAAGTTTTAAACTTGGGTTTATATGGGTTTTGTTAGAGGATGGACTGTATTTTAATTGAAAATTCCTAAAAATAAATGAGTAAACACTATTGGCAAACAATATCACTTTGAAATGGGGGTGCTGTTGTATTGGTCAATACTGTATACACATTTTTTTACATGAATAAACATTTTTGGTCGACTGGTTCGACCGCAGGCGGTGTAAAACTGTAGGTACCTCATCTTTGTGTGACAACAATCAAGGCGCACACCACAAATCGGAGGAGAAGAGAAGCTCGGCCAAGCCCTAGCAAATGTGTAAGCGCCAATAATATACATACATATATATTTTATTTTTAATAAAAAGTGGTGTAAAATAAGTAAAGCATTTTCTTTTTGTTTTAACTTACCGCAATGTCATATGTAAATATGTTGCCCCATCTGCTGCCGATGTATGCCGAACCCCATTGCACTTCAATACATTGTAATGGCTCTTGCAGATATACAGACTGGATATCCAAGGCGAAGTTCTAAGGAAACCAAAACAAAAGAAAACAAATAGATTGTAAAATAATAAGCATGATAGAAATTATGTTAAAATCATTTAGTTGGCGAAAATCTGTTGGACTAAAGATTCCAGCAAAGAGGAGAGCAGAAAGACACACGTAAAACGACTTTGACTTTGAAGTTCTTGTTTGCCGGGAAAGATATACATACATAGCACGTAATTATTGTGTAAAATAAAAAAAAAACTCGACACAGCTTTTCAATTTTTAACTCTTTAACTTTGAAAATATTCAGGATTGGACTTTCTATCGCTTTGACCATAATAAAATCTTTTATTGAACTTCTTACGCAAGATATGGAATGAGTGCTGTAAATCGTAGGCCGGGATGTTGTCGGAACGGGCCCTTGAAATGCCATCTCGCAACTCAAAAAAAAGTTGCGAGTATTTGTGCAATAAATGGAACTTCCATCAAACCCTTAAGAAGACTAACATATAAATCGTTCAAATAGCATGGATGAAAGCAACAAATAAACATTGTTTTTGACTACTCCAAAGATGACATTTTTGGGTTCTTCCGTTTCTGGATCCTTCTACTGAGCATTTTCCCTATTCAAAAAAGGAAAACTGGAGGCGCACTACTTTTAAGAAAAGCACTTTTGCATTGCCAGACTCAGTGCCACATGACCAAACTGCTTCAACGAAGGTGCTTAATGTCAAGATAGGAATGCGCCTTCATTTAATTTACGAGATAATCAACATCACTCTTTTGGAAGTCAGAGGGCTCGATTTTTTTATCTGTAAAGAAAACCACTCGCAAACTAATTGAGTTTACGCCTTGGCAGTAGACCTACGACTCTTTTGTCGGCGGATCAGTCCGTTTATTAATAGCGATCTAATATGGTTGTCCCTCATCGCTGAAGTGTTCGATATTCCAACAGCCCTACCTTTCGAAGGCAGAAACTAAGACGGATTTCCGGATTTCCAAGCAATGGTAGTGAAATATAGGGAAAATCGCAGTAGGCATCTCGGAAGGTGACTGGAGTGAAGTTATATTTGTAGTGTGCCAATTGTTAATTTATGTACATCTACGTTTCTAAGATAAGCTGAGTAACAAGGCTTCGACACTACAGCTCTGTTTTAAATCGATTAGCAACTTTTTTATAGTTTGATAGTCGACCGCAATAATTCGTTAGACCGCTCGAATTCAAAGTATATTCATGGATGTATAATTCGACTAACCGCTAACCATCGAGTAGTATCTCCATACCACTAATCGATATTTTTCAGGGTAAAATTTTGATCAAATCAACTGCGCCGTTAATCCAGATCAGCCTTGCCGTTCGACTATGAATATGCCACATTCTTATAGACGCAGTTGGGATTTGTCAATAAACTTAGTCAGGGCTATCATTGAATCCATCTAGTCCGAATTTTCGTGAAAACTACGAAAATGCTATCAATAAATAGCAATAGCTACGAACGTAGCATATACTTTGAATGCGTGAGTTCTTAGCAATTCGAATTCCGTGATTGTATTTAAGTAGATTTTACGAAAATCGGACTACGATGGATTCAGACTATTAAAAAAAAAATTGTGTATGCACCTCACGCGCCGCTGAAGTGAAACTTCTTTATCCTACTACCCGTATAGCTCACCATATTGTAGCAGTATTTTTCTGCATATTAATAAAAAATCATATTTATCTTAATCTAAATATCAATCTCAATCTTAATCGTAAATTAAATTATAATAGTCTCAATATCAATCTTAATCTTAACCTTATTCCCAGTCTTAATTTTAATCTTAATCTTAATCTCTATCCTAATCTAAATCTTAAACTCAATATTTAACTTAATCTCAATCCATATCTTAATCTCAATCCATATCTTAATATTAATCTTAATCCTAATCTTAACCTTAACCTCAATCTTAACCTAACTCTTTAACTGAATCTTAATTCTAATCTTATTCTTAATCTAATTCTGAATCCCAATATCAATCTTAATCTCTACCGCAATCTGAATCTGAATCTTAATCCCAATCTTTATCTCAAAACTAATCTCAACCGCAATTTGAAACTTAACCGAAATCTTAAAATTAATGTAAATCTTAGTAAACCACCCCCGCCAGCGCCTCCCTTCTACTGACGCTTTTTCTGTTCATTGCAGTTTGAAATTAGAGTTCAACGATTGTGTTGCTTTTTCGTTACATCGATGTTTGCATTTACTCCGAAATGAACGCAAAAGAAGTTTCACTGAAACCACTGATCGAAAACTGACGGATTAGTCGACTGGTTGCTTGTGAGCGGTTAGAAAAAGATGGGTAAGTCGATTACGCGAATTCGACAATTTTTGGTAATCGACTAACCGATTAATCGACTAGTCGATTAACAAGAGCTCTACTGGAAACTCTGGCCTGTGCAGATAAGAAAAAAAAGGTGTAAAGAATTGATTCAAATGATCAGAAATAAGGGCTTACGGTGATAGTATTCCTATGAAGATTGCACACGGCAGAAAATAGTTTGGTCTCCAAACCGAAATTGTAGAGGGATAACGGAAAATCGTTCCACAATAAATGCTTTCCTATTTCAACTACTAGCATCGCCATAAAAATATAATATACATACTTGTCATTTTTCAAACTTACCTCCAAAGACGTCTTTTTCAAATACCCATCAAGTGATGTTGTATATAGCACTTTCTTTTCGCAGCACAAATAGGAATGTGTAATATTTTCACTGTGTTTGGCGAATTCCTTTTCCATTTTGAGTGTCCTAGCGCAAAACTGATACAAGCGGCCATCTTCACCAGTGGCTACTAACCAACGCTCGTATAAATGTAGCTGTGTCATTGGACTTCTAACATCAATAGTAGAGCAGGGCATATCTGCAAAATTGAATGGTGGTTCTACATCACTCACAGTCTGTTCCATATCTGAAACGATTGGACTCGGAGAGCGTTCGCGCGTAGCTGCACCAACTGCAGGAGTCTTTTGAGTAGCTGTGGGTGTTGGCATTTGGACCGTTTCAGTTGGTAATTTTGATTTATTAGCTCGCTTTTTAGCAGCTGCGGCACCACCACGCTTACGTGGACCGCGTTTTCGCTTAGCATTTGAGCCAATATTATCGTTAGCTTTACGCTTACGCTGATTTGCGTTTGTGCTCTGCATAGTACGCGCGTTGCCATTTGGGAGCTCTTGTTGAGGTGGTTGTGCATCTAAGTGTGGCGCTGTCGACGCGCCTGGTGGCGACAAAGATGATGTTCTAGCAGCGGCTGCAGCGGCGGCGGCTTCGCGTTTCGGCAATTCACTGGCCGCTGCTGTCATGGCGGTATTAAGCAAGAAGAATTTCTCATTTTGCAATTGCATTGTTTGCATATCCACTTCCATTTTGTCCCTTTGCAATTTGAGTATCATCTCTTCGATGAACATTTTACGTTTATGCAATTCCATCAACTTCATATCGTATTCACGTAGATTATTCACTACGAATTCACCTAAGATATTACGCTGCCGCAATGCTTCTAAATCTACATTGGGAAATAGTGTGCTAGAGATCAAAGATGGCACGCTGGGCATGCCAAAAAGCCCGTTGATACTGTGCTCAAATCCCGTTAAAAGATTTGACGCGCCACTACCACTGAGCTTGTTATCAAGTAATGAGCGATTAGCGGGAGGAGAATGCAGGCCTATGCTGCTGCTCGACTCATTTAACGGCGCGGGGGTGTTGGTGCTTTCGAAAATGCTATTGTGTAATTGTTGTTCATTCGCTGTTGCAATACCTTCGGCGTTGGTGGTGGTGATTGTGGTGCTGGTAGTAGTCGGCAGCTGCTGACGTGTTGTCGCACTCGCCAACGATTTGCCATTAGAATCTTCTTGATTAGTGGTGTTGCTCATTTCATGTAAATTGTTGCGCGTTTCAGTGGCTGTATCTGCGCTTGTTTTACGCCTCCCACCACCAGCCGCCGCCGCCGCCGCCGCCTCATCTGCGGTTTTTGCATTGCCAGCACTTTTCCTTCTTACCCCATCTGACGCGCTTGTGTTCATTAATGCTTGGCTATTCACACTTTGATGTGGATTTTTCGTTGGTGATGGCACTGGTGTTCGCTGTGATTGCACGTAATTTTTTCCAACATCATTTTTTTCTGCTGCATTGGCACTTTTCTTATTGCTGCTGGTGCTGCCGCTGCCGCTGCGACTACGACTGCTGCTGCTGCTGCTGCCTTTAACTGCTTGTTGTTTGGAAATTCCATTAGCTTTATCGCCGCCTGCGTCATACCGTCGGCTTGCATCTTCTGCATGTGCCCTGCTTGATTGCGGCTTGTCAGGACTACTTTCGGTCTCCTTTCTTGTTCTGTTACTGCTACGCTCTTTTTTTGCTGCCTCTTTTTGCTTGTTGAAAACACTGACGATTTCACGCATAAGAAACTCCAAAGCAACAGTCCGATCCTCTGATTTTAAATTAGATTGTATTTTCGCAATTTCAGGTTTAGTGAATTTTCGCGTATTATATTCGCTAGTACAGATGCACGAGATGAAATGTAGGCGCGTATATGTGGAGTTCGAAAACTTATTGCGGTAACGAGCTTTTAAACTCTCGCTGATGCTGGGCAATATGAGCTTCTCAAAGCTTTCGACAACATTTTGCGCATCTACACGCAGTTTTAGTCGTCGACGTTTTACCGATGATGAAACACTTCTGGCTGAAGTCTCAGATTCACTATCGGAACTGCTACTCGAGCTGGAGCTGGAAGAAGACGTACTGCTCGAAGAGGATGACGATTCGACCAGTATTACATCTTTGAGCGTCTTTTTGCGACTATGTTTCCGCGACGTCGAACTCTGGTGCTTCTTTGTAGGTTTTTCCGTTGGCTTTTTTTCGCCTTCAGCCGCCGTAGGCGCTTTAACTGTTTCCGTTAGCTTTGGATCTTTTTGGTCTTCGATTACCGCCTGCTCGTTGTGGCAACTATGTATTGGTTGTGGTGCTGTTTGTACTACTTCATTTTGCATTGTTTGTCCCACTTCATTTTGTGTTGTTGTCTCTTTTGCAGCGTCTTTTTTCGCATTATCAGCATTACAAGCACTTTCTACAACTGGCTGCACTGCTGTTGACGTCGTCTCTACAAGACTTTCCTGTAGTGGTGGCGAGGCATTTATTGCCGTAACATTCCCCCCTTCGCCTACAGCGATTTCGACTACATTTGCGGCGCTTTCGTCCAGCGGATTATCTGTTGGCTGCGCGTCTTTTTTATAAAATATTTCTATGCCAAACGCTTTACGTATCTCCTCCAATACTATATCTGGTATACATATAGCATCGACAATATCATCGGGCACAAAGTTTACATCCTCTGAATCTTTTGCCGCTTCCAGATTCATTGACTTCAACTGCTTGCGTATCTCTTCGCGCAAACGTTTGCGTGCCTGCGCTTTTAACGCCTCATCGAAGCGTGTTCCACTGCTGTTTATTACCTGCTTGATGCCGAACTTATCCATACCGGCAACCTTTTCAATCAGATTTTCTGTGGTACCACTGGAGTTGCTACAAGTCGAAATTTGTCGACGTCTCTTCACAAGATTAGGTCGGCAGACGCGTTTGGTTGGTGTACTCGTAGCTATTACGGGTGCAGGCGCATCTTCGAGCTCGGCTACACTTGAGTCATCCGTTAATTCGATGAGTTCGTTTCGTATAAGTCGAGATAAGGGAATTATAGAGATTCGTGGCTTATCACTGGGTTCTTTAATGGGTGAAACTTTGCATTCAAGGCTGGAGATTTCTTCATCAATACCTTCCCGGTTCTCAGATGAGTCTGATGTGTTTAAATCGATTTCAATGCATGGAATTTCAGGCACCGGAGCTGCGGTAATTTCCTCGGACTCTATGCGAACATTTACTGTATTTATAGCTGACTCATTCGTTTCGATTTGTAAGCTCTTGGAGCTTCCGCTAACTGCACTTATATTTATCACTACGTCACCTTCTTTTTCAATATCAGTCTTATTTTCTTTCGTAGGTTGTTTTACGTCAATAGGTTTTTTTTCAGTGTTTTTCGTTACTTTAGTCTTTGAACTGATGGTCGGTTCTTTATCTTTACTTCCTTTGGAAACGTCTCTACTTTTCGCTTGACAGCTTTCTTTTGCAGTTTTTGGTTTTACGGCGAGTATCTTTTTATTAACTTTGTCACTTTGTTTTGCACACACTACGGGTGGTAACTTCAGCGAATTATTTTCTGTGGATTCTGTACTGACTTGGTCTGTAGGAGTTTCTACCGTTAAACTATCTTCTCTATTCTTCGTCACATTTTCTGATGTTAATTTCAATTCGTTAGTTTTTGTATTAACTTCACTGCTCTCAGCTACCGCAATTTTATCTTTATCTTTCGCTAAGTTGCTGCCACTTGGATTTTTCCTTGAAATCTCACTGCCTGTTTTAGGTGAGTTTTTTGCCTTGGCACTACTCGGTGTTAATTTAAAACTTTTTTCATTAACTTTGCTGGCATTTTTTGAATCTTTTTTAGGCGGTCTCTTTCTCGGCGAAGTTCTTACTTCGTTTAGTTTACGAATTTGCGTTGGTATTACATTATCTGATTTTTTCTTATCCTTCTCGGTAACAGTGTTCTGAGTTGAGTTTTTAACACCTACGTTTTCAACAATTTTTGATTCTTCTGTAACAGCAACTCGATTACTAGCAGCTGGTGTAGATTCTGATCTTCTTTCGGTTTTTGCGGTTTCTGTTGTATTTGTAATATTTTGAGAACTCAGTGATTTTCTATCAGATTCATTACTGTATGGTGGTACTGAATTATCCCTTCTCCTACCTGTCTCATTTTTTTCATACTTTGAATTAGTATTGCAGTTATTGGAATTATTATTATACATAGAATTATTTATCCAACGACTGTTATTTCTATTATTCGGTCCATTTTTATATCTATTTAAGTTCCATTGTGATCGGTAGTAAGGTGGATCAGACCGTTGCGAAAAAATAATATTTGGTCGATGATATGGCTCTGATGGGTTCATATACTGAAAGTTGTTTTAGAAAATTTCGTTAGAGAATGGCGTATTTATTTTTAGAACATAGCAGTATGCTTAGAGGAGAATGTTGCTTAATTATTATAATTACCTTATTTCGCGGGCGGTCTCCTGTGTAATCTCTGTGTGATGGACCATAATAATTATATCGTCGGCTGTAAATGAAAAAAAAATATATATATATATAAAACATTAAATTTACAGTGGTGGTCACATAAATAGGGACACTACTGCTCTATAAGTTTTAACCATTTATTTGACGTTGTTACGCATTTTGTTCCGTACAAAGTATATGTTCGGACATTTTTTATACGGAGAAAACGAGCAGCACCGTCAGCAAAAAAAAAATATTTTCAAAAATCAACGCGAATTCTTAGTCGATTAAAATCTGCACAATTTTTGAATGGGCTATAATAAAGCATCCCCGAATTTTTTCTCGCTTTACCGATTAAAAGGTATATGTCCATACTAGTTTTGCACTTTCTCTGTATTCTACGCTCTCTGAGTTTTGATCAGTGTTGTCATCGAATATTCCCTTGATCCGAGTTAAGTTTGGGAATTAACTCTAGGACTTAATCCGGATTAAATGCAGTTAATTCTCGAGATAACTCTGAATTAACGAGTTGATCCGGATCAACGGTGCCGTCTGTTTAAGCTTTTAGATACTTAAGCGGGTTTCACTGCATCATCAAAAATAGGACGTTCTCTTTACTCAAGAGCGAATCGTTGCTATTTGAATTTCCAACAAAAGGCTTTTATACACGCAGTTAATAAGAGCCTGGCAAATGTTAGTAAATTTTTACAGTATTTACTTATGTATGTATGTAAAACGCCCTGTGAATTGTTTTCATATTTTTGTATTTACCCCTCCAGCCATTAATTTGCGTTCACCTAAATTAAACCTTGTGAAAAAAATTCTACTGCCAACAAAAAGCGCATTACATTTTTCCCCTTCAAAACAACAAAAGAATAATTAATGTAATTTCGTAACGTGCTACAAATTCTATAAATTTCGACCACTACTTCTCCTCGCTGGCACCTACACACTTTTGGCAAGTGAAGGTAAGAAAACGAATAGAAACAAAGAGTCGCGGATAAATTTAACAAATTTAAAATTTATAACCTTGAGAAGTCTGTGCAATATGCTAGCAAGAAATTTGGCATTCTGAAGTTGGAGTACGTGAGAAAGTAAAATAAAAAAGAATGTCTCCTTACGAAAGCAAATGTTTCCGCGTACACAACCACAAATCTCGTTCATTTGCACCTTTCTGAACTAATTAAAAATTTCGCTGTGAATACATAATTTGACTGCAACAAGACTTTGGTCGGAACATTGAAAGGATTTTCAAGGTGATTTAAATACTTACAAACTTATGTACATATGTACATTAGGATTATGATTTTTTTACGCTTTTTTTCAAATTTTGATTTGCCTGTGCTTGCATTTAATAAACTTTTGTCCATATATTACTTTTTTGGCGATATTTTTGTTGGTTCGTGAAAATACCTCCCGCGCACACTATCATTTCATTTACAAGGCTGTTGCATGGCAAAGCCCCATACCTAGTATAAAAAATCGACCGAAATTCCTTTTTGCCTACCAAGTTTTGATTTAAAAACGATGTGTATCAGCACTAAATCCACGAATCTATTTTACTTTAATAAAACCATAAAACTTTTGAGAAGAAAAACATGTTTGAATATTAATTTTCTCCACTTAGAAACTGATAATAAATTTCGCTATGCGCGAGAGTTTTTTTTTATAATTTATCAAAATTGTTGTTATTTTTTGGAAATGTATACAAAAGTTCATCGTTTGCCACCACAGGCATTTAAATCTAAAAAAAAATCATAACCCTAATGTACATAGTATGTACTTACATGTAGACGTGTGAAAGTGAACTTTATATTGTAAGAACTAAATGTGATTTGTAAAAATTACTGCTGAGGAGTGGTAAGAATTCACGAGAGAAAACTTTCGCGCGCCTTGGTAGAGATACTTGAACGAGGCGAAGTTTCATTTCATCAATTATTGAAGTTGCATTTGTAATGCGTACATTCGTTAGTTTCGGGGTTTATTGATTTCTAAATATTCGTAAAAATTGTATGGCGTTCCGTATAGCCACAGATTCAGTATACATACACTGACGGCAGAAATATTAGACTCGTCGTACCTTGAATAATTTTGCTTATATTTCTTTAGTTTATTTATGTTTAATATTTTTTTTTTATGAAAGCCCAGGTAAGTATTCAACAAACATCATATAAATCCGCTTTTCAAACTTTGAACAAAAATTATAAAAATTCGACAAATTTTCAAACTTTTTATTCAGAATTTGTAGAAAAAATATTGGTATGCAGTTTCGTAGCCCATTTAATTTTTGTGTGTGTGAGTTTCATGGGGCTAGAAAATAACGCTGATTTTTGACAATTTTTTTTTGTTGACGATACTAAGCATTCTCTTCCACATAAAAAAATTGTCGAGCACACTTTGTATGGGGAAAAATGCGTGCCACCGTCGGCAAAAAAAAAAATCTTAAAAAGCAACGGTATTTTATAGCCAAATGAAACTTGTACATTATTATACAAAACTGCATACCAAAAATTTTCCTAAATAGTCTGCATAAAAAGTTTGAAAATTTGTCGAATTTTAATAATTTTTATACAAAGTTTGAAGAAATGTGCTTCGTCGGAATTGTTGAGGAACATCAATACTAGGGTGGGGCGGTAACAAAAAATTTTGCATTTATCAATGTTATTGTGGCTTCTTAACATTTTGTTTTTAATATTTTTATTGAGCTTTGTACCTTGATTGTTTATTAAGAAAAATTGAAATTTTGCGTTTCGAAATTTTAACAGCGGGAAATCGTTGCCTATCGTCGTCAATACAAAATCCTATTTGCTTTAAGATCGGTTAGTATTTTCTGTCACCCTTCTTGATGGAAATATTGAGTTATTTGTAAATTCATAATAAATAACGTAATTTATCAAAATAATTTTTGGAAAAATTCTAGGTATGCCGTTTTACAATAATAAATTGCAAGTTTGAAGAAGATAAGACTTACCTTTGATTTTCGACCATTTACGCTGTTGCTTATTTTCTCCATATAAAAACATAAACAACAAGAATTAAAAAAAAAATCTGCGGAATTTGTAAGCCACTTTAAACTTGTACTTTATTATACTAAATTCAATGGCCTAAAAAATGCATACCTAGAATTATTTGTTTAGAATTTAGAAAAATCGTAAATTTTTTTCTTTCCGCTCCACCCTAATCACTACTATATATGTAACTCTTTATAGCTACGGATTTTTGCTATACTGAGAAAAATTCATGATTATAACTTGAATTGCGGACCACGATAGTGAAATATTAAGGCAGAGGTTAGTCAGGATAAGGTAAGCGAGTTCTTGGAATTGAACAAATTTGAAACCAGGGTTCTAGGGCTATTGCAACTAATTGCAATGCTTTTGCAACCAACAAAATCTCTCTGCAACAACTTAAAGCATGAATAGATATCATATTAGGGCGAGTCGAAAAACACAAACTGTTTGATACGAAAATTGTTTAGGTCCTAAAAGGTACTAATTAATACCTTACTCTAGAACAAATGAAAATAAGAGTGGGAATATCGTTTTTTAAAATTTTTACAACGACACTTCTGTAGATCAAATCCGGAACTTATTTCCTATTATAAAATCATAAAAAAATAAATAGGGTAAAGTAAAAGTAAGTAACATCAATATTTTAATCAATTAATAAATTAAGTAGGAAATAAAGATTAATTGATAAAAATATTGAATTTAACTTAGTTTTAATTTGCCCAATTTATTTTTTATGATTTTATGAGCGGAAATAAGTTCCGGATTTGATCAACATAAGTCGTTGTAAAAATTTGAAAAATTCGTATTTACACTCTTATTTTAAATTTTTCGCAGATAAATCGGATTTCTTTTCCAGAATAAGAGATCAAAATAGCCCTTTCAAGACCTATACAACTTTCGTATCAAACATTCTGCGTTTTTCGACCCGTCCTAATACACACATATGTCTTTCCATTTCGGTGTCTTGGAACCATCTAACGATTACATCAAAATCTTAATGAATTAATACACTATGCTGAACAATTGCATTGTTATTGTTACTACAAACTTTAATTCGAGCATTGCTAGCATACTAAAAAGCATTTTTTTTAGTTTTGTCTTTTATTTAGGTGTCATTTGTGGTAAGCCAATGCACATATGTATGTATGTATGTATGTATGTATGTATGTATGTATATATTTAGCTTTGTATGCCAATCCGAAATTAATAGTTTATTTAAAAAATTGGGTAGTTTCGTATCGGGGATGTAGCTCAGATGGTAGAGCGCTCGCTTAGCATGTGAGAGGTACGGGGATCGATGCCCCGCATCTCCAGGAAGCACTTTTTTTTTGTTTTTTACATATTGTTTTAATATTTTTATTAGTTGCTTATTATAGAAAAAGTGCACTCTGAGGTGTAATAACCCTGTGAAAAGTGAATTTTGGATTTTTTGTTTTTTTACGTCCTTTTGTAATTCAGGTGGGTTATGAATTTTTTTGATTTCAGGCGACGAGATGTACATACGATATAAATACATAGGAAAATTTATATAAAGTTGATTTTGTATCGCTTTGTTTAAGGAAAATTATTTGAATCATGTTATCCATGGTGCACACTGCTTGCAAGATAATGGCTATGGCTACAGTGGCGCCTTTGGGCAAGTGATTTTAACCTAAATTGATAGGAAATACTGCAATATATATATATATATATATATGTATATCAAAAAAGTAGATCGCACATCTCGAACTAATTATTTCCATAATATATATACACTGAGCCAAAAGCACAATAGTTTTTCAACCAAGATATTATTTTAATTTTTCTATGGTAAATACACCGATTGTAATACATGTAATTGAAGTTGAACAGTTCAAAGCACATTTGTATATCTGGCCGCAGCTAAACGTGTAGAGATGCTTGCTGTTACTTGTTACCTTCCAGCAGGTTCGCGTTCGAATGCCATTAGATTGCAACATGTGATTATTTTCATTTTTATGTATTTTTGTTTTTGGGTTTTCTTAATTACGAAAAAGCATCTGTGAAGTGAAGAATAAAATCAAAAGACGAA